TATCAGTGTTGAAAACTGTGATATGTGGAAACTGACACTTTTTTTGGATTATTTGACGAATAGAAGATTCAAAAGAACAACATTTATTTGAAATAGAAATATTTTGTAACATTATAAATTATAAAATCTTTACTGTCACATTTGAGTTAAGTATTAATGATACAGCATAATAACAAATTAATTTTTACGGGAAAGAAATATTGAAAATAAATAATAATAAAATAAAACACCCTATAAAGTCAGTTAGACTGCATTTATGGATCTAAGGTTCAAGCGGCTCTATGGTACTGGTTATTTCTTTTTATTAATTAATTAAAGAAAAGAAATAGCTGAATCATAAACAGTTTTTTAAATTATTTAATGAATAGAAGTAGAGCATTTATTTGAAATATAAATATTCTTTACTGTCACGTTTAACCAATTGAATGCATCCTTTGTCAATAAACATATTAATATTAATTCAGTAAAGTAGCTGTATTTTTTTAAGAGCTCACCAGCAGGTTTGAGTTTTGCTCCATTAATGTCCAAGTCCACTGCTTTACTGACAAGGATACCGGACTCGTAACCAGACTCTCTGCTCTCTGTTTCAAGGGAAAAGACAGCACAAATGCAGAACAATAAAATGCATTTAAGGTCAGACTGGCCCTCTTTGCTCTATTTCACTTAACTAATCCAAACAGGCATGGTTTTAGTATCCTAATGCTGTTAATGCAAATCTTCTGGTAACACCTGCCAAGGTAGACATGTTACATCTGATATCGAAATGTTTGAGATATCTATAAGGGTTTCAGTCTGCTTTCACCATTAACTTAAATGGTAAAACCTCCCATAAACACAAGGACCAGGTGTTCCCCTGGGGTTGAGTTTTGGCACATGGGTGCTTCTCGACCGTGTGTGTATTAGTCCTGCAGACCACACGTGCGTGAATGTGAGGTAGTCTCATTGAATGGTAATCCCCCAGTAATATAAGCTTACTCGACCTTGGCAGGAGATCTGTAGGTGCGCATTTCAAGTAGATCAACAGCTGTCTTAGTAAAGCAGTGTGCCAAAGAGAGCACACATCGATCCAAATGTTAGAGAGGGGATGTGTACTGAAAGAATAAGAGTGTGCTTCTTACTGTTGACGTATGGGGCGGTGAAGATGTATATGTCATTGTCCAGACTCCTTTTGTAAAAACTTGAGTCATAGGTCTCAGAGTTTTCACCCCATTCTTCCCCGGCACTGAGAAAGAGAGAGAAAAGTGAGAGAAAGAAATAGATTAAGAGGCATTTTAAACAAACTGATAAACAATAGCAATATAAATAATGTAACAACTGAACTCAAGAATGCATAACCCAAAAATCCTACATGAAATGCATACAGAGAATCAAATGCCTTGTACTGGATTGAGTGGTTTTCATTAAGAAAAGGCATCCTGCTTTTATCTAGAATCATTTAAGAAAGAAAACACAAATGTTTAAATATTAAAACTTTTTACTTGAACGTTTGTTCACTTTCTTACATATACAATAAAAAGAAAGAAATTCAGTTTAATTATAACTGTGTAAATTAAATTGCTGAGGCTCACATCTATGATTAAAATAAAATAAAATAAATATCAAGCAATTAATACATTAATTTAAAGTGCAGACATAAATCTCAGAGTGGTGACATAAATCTCCAAGATAAGTATTAATAATACTGCATATCAAGGAATTATTTTACTGGAAATAAATACTGAAAATAAAATAAATTAAAGCCACACCCTATAAAGTCAATTAGACTGCATTTATGAATCTAAGGTTCAAGCAAAGAAAAAGCTAAATATATGATTGTGGGAAAAAATATTATTTCTAAAGTTAGTCAGCAATGAGACACAAATATCTATGATAAGTAATAACAATACAACATGCCAAACATTTGAGGAAGAGGAGAATCTTAAAGCGACAAGTGGAAAATCTCAGCCATGTCAATCAAGCCTGATATTTCCACCAGTGAAACAAAAAAAGATGATGATTAGCAGTATGTACATGCTGCTCAATGCCAGAAAACGCACATGGATTGTGGTTGGTTCTGTGAAGCTCCAAAAAAGACAAAGAAAACAGGTATTTTGTTTTGGGAAACGAGGTGAGTTAATATGAACTGCGAATAAGTGCACCACTGTAGCTTCTTAAACACCGTCCTGCTGTTTTACACCACGTCACCACCAGAGTAAGTTTATGAACTCAACCACTCGCTGTTATAGATTTAAGCTAATAAAGACAGGAGAAAGAAAGCGAGAGCTGCACATGGCTCCCATAAGAAATCTCAAAAGAGTCACTCTGTACCAGAAACATCCTCTCTCACTCTTTCTTTCAGTCTCAACCGCAGACCCCTGCGGGGCTTGCAGACAGAGGAAAGATCGGAAAGAATTTAGCATCTCTCACACACACTTGCACACATGGGGATGGAGAAGTGCACATATTTCACACAACTGTGAATGGAACTTACCTTTTAGGATACACACGTGTAATGCCTCCATCTGTAGCCACAAACTGGGCCAAAACTCCATCTCTAATGAAATAAAAAAACGTCAGTATGTTTAGCATGCAGTTTAGAATTTTCCTAAAAACCACAAACAGAAACCAAACAACTCTAGCTCTAGCTGTAACTAGCTTTACACCTGTGAATGTTTTGTTTAGGTATTCTAGCCTTGTACTTTAAATTAAATTATTTCAAGAACATTCTGAGTAACTAATAACACATTCAGCCTCCAAATTTAAAAAAACAATAAAACAATGGAATATTTGGGTCATTCCTCAATGTACAAATTTAATTGAAACACCATTTGTTTAATTGAAAACACAATTTTGAAATGCGTCGCATGCATTAAGTACTGTGTTTTTGGACTCCCACATGGTCGGGTTCTTTAATCCTGGTTATAATTGCTAGACTCTCGAGTTTGCTTT